AAGTTGGCCAAAATGAGTTTTCTTTCACAGGATTACAGGGTACAGCAATAGGGTGAGGAGCTCGAAGTAGAGCCACTGATCCTGCGCATCCAGAGAAGCTGTGACCTACTTAGGGAGGTGTTCCAGGCATGTCCCACCAAAAGGAGGTCCCGGGGAAGACCCTGGATACACTGGAAAGACGTTAGGATCCCCTGGAGGAGCTGGAGGATGTGGGGAAAAGGAAGTCTGGGGTTCTCTCCTGAGACTGCTGCTCCCACGACCCAGCTCCAGATATGCAGCAGCAAACAATGGATAGATGGATGGGTGTCTTTGAGCTACAAAAAAAATGTTGCAGACACATTTTAGGTTGAACCCTAAACCCCAAAAGGATGACAGTCGGATGAGATCTCAGGTTTAATGTATGGCTTAATGTATGGCAAATTTTGCATATTGGCTTATCTAAATTGGCTTTTGTTATTCAATTGAAAGCCAAAATATTGCCAGATGGATAACGTAACTTGGTTTTGGGAAGAAATGCTGGGGTCAAACCCTATTAAAAGATCATTTTTTTAAAGAAATTTAAAGAAGTTAACCTTTCCAGATTAATCACATGCATTAACACATTCTGTGGACAGCCATATTTTATAGTCTCTACATATACAGTCAAGACCAAAATTGTTCATACCCCTGGGAAATTTCAACCACCCTCACCCCCTACTCTCTCCAAACTCATGACTGATTATGAATGTGTTTGTGGTGTATTCTTACAATCCTTCACATTCTCCAAAATAATACTGTGCGACCTGTTTCATGTAACTTAAGGTCAATTTATCAATTGTGTCAAAAGTCTACCACAGACAGTATGAAGGACTTTTAGAAATGTTTGAAATCCACCTGGGATGCAGATATGCTTTTTATTCCACAACAAACAAATGGAAAAACAGACGCAAAATGTTAAATGTCAACCAACCAAGAAAACCTAGCTGTGCTGCAAATAATCCCCTAACAAAAACACTAAACCCTGGAGTTTTCAAGGGTATGTTATAACATCAAATATGAAGACGTTTCCATTTCAGGAGGACAAAAGGAAAAATCAATTCACAGGCTTTTCCAAAAACAAGTTTCAACAACAAATATGAAGCAATTGGTTCAGCTGATGCATGGAAAAATCCTAACAAAGAGATTAAAGTCACCAGTCCTATTTTTCAGGACAGACAAGGTCATTGCTACTGTACATGTATGCACTATTTATCCTCAAGTTCAGGGACATTAGAGTTAACTAAAACTTAAATCAATATAAAAGAAACTAAAAATTTAAATAAAAGGAACATTAAGTGAAGTTTATTCATAAACTAATTTCGAGAGGATCACGTGCTTATGATTTATCACAGCCAGTCTCACATTTGCTAATCACTGTCTTCCAATCATATGAGCCCTAAGCTACTATAAATAATCACAGTTTTCAATTCACTTCATCTTCGTTTGGAAGAAACCCCCCTCCTCCCCTATTCTCCTCCTTTACCTCTGACTGGGCGGCACGGCGGCCCAGTGACTAGCACTGTGAGCCCCACAGCAAGAACACTGCCGGCCCTGGTTCCACAGGACCGGTGGGTGTTTCTGTGAGGAGTTTGTATGTCCTCCCCGTGTCCGCGTGGGTTTTCCCCGGGTTCTCCGGTTGCCTCCCACCATCCAAAGACATTCAACATGCATAACAATCAAGCTTTGTCTAACCCCTTGTGTTCCCTTAGCTGCCGCAGCAGGGGAGTTCTGAGATGCACCGAGCTCAGGCTCCCCTCTCGCTCTGTCAACGGGAGGAAGCCCCGGGCTCGAGGAGCCCTTGAGCTCGGGGCTCTCTCCCGGGACAGCATGCCAAACAAGCTTTTATAAATCATCAGCTAAGAGTGAACTCTTGAATTGATGTTTATGACAAATCTACATTATGACAATTTATGTTTTCTTGGTGATGACAGATTTTCATGTGATTTAGGAAAAGTTTTGATTGTCAACATTTTTCTCAAAATGATCAGATTTTTCATTTATTTATTTTTTTGCCAGATGTTAGAAACAACCAAAGAAATTCATACATACAAAGACAACAAAGCTAATTTAGATAGTTTCTTTAAGTATTGAACACTTAAAAAAAGACAGTGTAAAAAGGCTCTGAAAGTCCAGACAGTAGCTGACATCTTGCAGTGGTTAATTAGCACCTGTCGCTTCTCAGTTTAAATTAATATTATCTGCTTCAGTCCAGTTGGCACGGGGGCTCGGTGGTTAGCACTGTCAATTCACAGCAAGAAAGTCGTTGGTTCTATGTGGAGTTTGCATGTTCTCCCCATGTTCTCGTGGGTTTCTTCCGAGTGAATTGGGTAAACAAAATTGGTCAGTGAATGTGGGAGTGTATGGGTGTTTCCCAGTACCGTGTTGCAGATTTTCAACGATTTTAAATGTCTAAAATAGCTAAATAAAGAAATCCTACAAAAATAAACCTTCAAAAACTTTTTCTCCCACATTTTGTGGTCAGAATGAAGCTAATTAATGACAGGCAGGATGAGGCATTTTTTCATTCTTGCCTCTGTCATCCAGTCCAAGTTGTTGTAATTGTTGGTATGCTTTGTCTTTATTATTTGATTGACTCTACCCTTGTGTTGTCCTTGCTCTTCAGGTCACAATATTTCAATTCAAACACATGCACGCAAACAGATACGAAGTTGGGTAAACATCAGTCTGGGTAATCCAACTGAGGGGGCTGTGGGAGAGGGAACATCCTCTCGTACTTACTTTCACATCCCTCCCTCTTTTTCTCTCGTCCTCTCGCTCATTTTCATCCTCCAGGAGAGAGAGGTAAGGAGGTGCTGTGTGAAGGCTGAGATGAGCACATCAGAGCTGGGGTCAGAACAGAGCGCAGCTGCCCTAACATGACACACCACAGCTACCTCTGCACTCCAGTGAAGGTAAGTCTGGAGAGAGAGAACATCCTTTGTGCTATTTAATGTTGTCTTACAGTTTTTCCTCAATTGCTTTGGTAAATATTTCTAAACGGTCTAAACATTCTGTAAACTGTGAGTGCAAATGTCAAAACTTTTGCTGGAGCTTTAGTGCACGTCTGCAAAATGTAGTTCATTACCCAAAATAGTTCATTCATGCTTCGAAACCTAGCTCTTGTGTCAGTAATTTGGCCAAGGCTACCAAAACAACGTGTATTTGTCATCGTGTGAGTCACAATGATTAAAATGATTACTTGTTTTTTCAACATGACAGTCAACCATGGAAATTAAGGTTTAAAAAAACTGATATTTGTTGAGAAGAGTAATTAGTACATGAAACAATAAATAAATGAATGAAAAATGAATTAAATTAAACAAATACTGCTTTAAAAAATATACATATTTATATATATATATGTATATATATATATATGTGTGTGTGTGTGTGTGTGTGTGTGTGTGTGTGTGTGTGTGTGTGTGTGTGTATATATATATATATATATATATATATATATATATATATACAGGGCTCGAAATTAACCTTTTTGCTTGGTAACACTGGTGTTCCTAACTTAAAAAAATTTGGCGCATCAGCCAAAATTTAGTCGCACTCACCAATTATAAGCACCGTTACTACAACAAGTTTTATACAAACTTATTTATTGCATTTGAAATTAACAGTAATCAAACTAACAAGCAAAAAAAAAAATATATATATATATATATATATATATATGTATATATGCGTGAGGAAAATATGTCTCAACGAAATCCCGTTATCACTAAAAAAAAAACATTTTTATGACAAAACTGAGTGACCAAAGGATACACGGAGCGCTCACCGGCCCTGCACGCACTGCTTGACATGAATGAATCTGTAAACGATATAACTGTGCTGTTCTCACGGATAGTGTCTGATATTGCACTGATGCTTTTGACATATACTGTACCTTATTATATGCATACGTCATGTTAATAGCCATACCGGTCTTCATGAGTAGCGATATTAGTTTACTCGGCGCAAGCCCGTTTGCGATGGTGTACATGGTGTTATATTTGACATATAGCTGCCACTTGCACGGCGGACAGCATCTGGCGGTTATATGAAGGATTAAACTGAAGCTCTCGTGCTAGATGTGGCAAACAGTTACCTGAAAACTCCATCTCACAGACTTTTCATAGCGGACTTGAAGCCAATGGAAGTCTTTTATCCACTCTTGGAAAAGTGTAGGTGGTGGATTAAGATTCAGCACATGATCACTAGTAAGATGTGACATTATTTGTAACTTTAGATGCCATGGTTTCTAAAACAAAATCTGTCAGTGTTATCTTCATTCTCATCTTCAGCGCTTTACAATTGTTCACGGTAGTAGCTCTACCTGTCATCCCAAGCCAGAAGGCATTGACTGAGTGATTGACAGCTGATATTTCAGTGCTAGAGCAGTGGACCAATAAGAAGAGCGCGAAGGCGGGGCAAGCAGTACGGACTTGGCTTTGTTTACCATTCCTGAGCGCTGCGTTTCTACCAAACACATCAGCATTAGACAAATGCGTGCAAACCCTGCGTTATGTAATGGTATTTTGTTGAAAAAGTGTTTGTTTTTGTTTTGTTTTTTTTATTAAGAAGAAAGTCGATGGCTGCTGGAAATTTTCTATAATATGCCACTGATGCATAGGGATGACCCCCTTATGATTGGAATGCAGTGTGAGATGCCAAACAACTTCTCAGCTCTAAGGGTCATCAGTTGTACCCTATGAAATCCTTTATTCTGAAGGGCACTTCAAAGTGGCCCGTTTTGAGCACTTGAGTTTAAAATGACACTTCAAAATGGTGGCCATGAATGTTTTCACTCCACTGTGCCCTTCAGAGGGTAATATATCCTGTAGGGAACGTACTGAAAGTGAGCTTCAATCGATTCCTCCATAGTCTCACCTTGTTTTGTCAAAGTATAAAGTAATCTCTGACCTTCTGTCTCTAAACAGTGCAAGAATAGTCTCTTCTGTTCAGCAGGCCAGATGCAATAACGATCAGTAAGTAGTTCTTGAACATCTTCATCCAAACATCAAAGCTTATCAAAGGCTCACCAGGACATGACAAGAATGATGAGGGAAAGAAGCAACTACAAAAAAATTATGAAATAATAATGTTGTACTGTTTGCTCAAACAAGCACGAAGAGTCAGATCCCAGAATTTACAATTTCACAGGTTTATAAGCATCAGAGTTTAACAACAAGCAATTCCACATGCCTACACACTTTCAGTTCTTCAACACCTTTTCTACATACTAACGTAGTAACCTCTAGCGCCCTCTTGTGATGAATCTGTTATACAAGAACACAACATTAATGTCAACTAAGCATTAAAAGCATCTCACTCAAATTAGGCCCCATGCACTGCTGTTTACATGTTACAGTGTTAAATAAGTATGTTAATAAGAGTTGACCTGTCAAAATGCTAACTTTTTTATTAATTATTGAAAGTATATTGCAATACAAGGGTGTTTTGTATCTGTACATATGGACAATGAGTTTATAAATGTTGTGTCTTGACCTTAACAATAAGAAAGATGATATGTAGTTAATATTTTTATTCTCTTAAAATAAATGCCTTACTATTCATGCCAGAAGACGATCAGCAGGGGTGGATTTAGTGATTTGGGGGTCCTAATTAATTCCGGCCTGAAAGTTCTAAAATGCACCTTTGAACTAATTCATTCACTTTTGAACTAATTTATTTTTAATTGATTTATTTTGCTGTTCTTATTTTTATATCACGCAATCTCCTTCTCTACAATTTGTCTTAATGCAAATTAATACTAATAAGAACATGTAAAGCATCTTGTAAAACTTTTTAAATTATTTGTTTTCTTAAAATGGATTCACAACCAAAAAATGATATAGTAACTATTTCGTTTTTAAAACGAAATCTTTACTTAATGGGGTTTATGCACACAGACTTATAGTTTTCAGCCAGCCAGCCCGACGGCTTTTTGTGAACTGTCTTTCCATTACAAAATCGTCATGTTTAAGATCTGTTTTCTTTAAAAATAAGTGATCTTCACTGCCTGATATAGATACAATATAAAGTTAGTCTTAGACTGGACAAGAAGCACTGCATTAAATTACATTTTCCCCTGCCATCTTTTCAAAACATGAACATTTATTTTACCTCAGTATATTGAATGGAGTTTCTGCGCTGGTACTAGCATGCTAGTACTGACGGCGCTAGCAGTAACACTTTCTTTCGTCTTTCGAATGTTTAAGTTTATTTAACTGATTGTATTTTAATTACATTACAATGTCGATGCTGTTAAAGGAACCTTATACACTTAAAAATAGTCACCTTTCACCAGACGTTTACCGTTGGCAGAAAAACACTGGCTGTGCATATAGCCCATTTGACTGCTGGACTGCTCCATGATTGAGGGTAAGGGACACATTTGCGATGTAATAAACATTAAACTTGTTTTTTTTAGACCCTCGTCATACAAAATATGATAGAAAATGATGTTATATATCATTTATAGGTATAATTTATATTTCTAGGTATTTATTTGAAGACCCTCAGGATTTCCTGGGGCCATAAGGGGCCGCCAACCTTGCTTATTGGTTAAATCCACCCCTGACGATCATTTTCTAATAAATCCCCTGGCTGTGTTTTCTAGTGAAAAAAAGCAAACAATGATAGTTTCCCTTCCCTTAGTTATATTAAAGCTTTGCTTTCTAAAGTATGCGGGACTTTTATTTTGAAACCGCAACCGCAGATTGTTTACTGTTGTTGCGTTACTGGGCAACAACTGCACTAGACATATTCAAACTCTCGTCAGGCCACAAAATGGAAGATTTTCAGATTATACATTCATTTAGCATCACTCCGAATAGGCATTAAGGTATATTTAATTGTGTCTTGTGTTAATGTGTTGTGAAATCTGAAGCGTTTCAACATGAAACACATGTAGACCACTGAAATGTGTCAGATCACTCAGCTCAACTGTCATGGGAGGAGATGTAAGTCCTGGATGTGATTTCTATGACATTATAGCTTAAAGATACAACACTATAATATCTCTTATCGGTCTCAATTGTTAAGTTTAATTATAGTTTAACTATTATCCACACCTTGTGTGCAAAATAGGTTAACATTACTTTTGATTGGGTTTATATTTGTCCTTGTTTAGGGTACATCATGCTCTGTTCGTTTGTGTGAGAGAACTGCAAAGAGCGACACGATCCATCTACGGTCAGTTATAGACCTTCTGACTCTAGGAGTATTTTACAGAGTAATAAATAAGCATATAAAACTGTTTTTGGAGATTTTGTAACTTACCAATGCCATAAACCTACTATTGTAGATAACGTTTCCAGAGAAGAATTTCACTTATTATGTTAAACCAACTATATCAGTTGAATTTTAGTTGAAGTTGTTAAATTTGCTTTGTGATGGTGACTACTGTGGTTAAGCTGAATGTAAATGATTACATTAAAATACTGTCATCTTTAGTAAATCAGAAGTAAATTACTCATGCAAACAAACCAATAGAAAAATCTCCTTCTGACATCAACATAACTGCTGTGTATGATTCAATCTAGACTACATGATACTTCAGCTGACTGACATCTACATGTATCTGAGGAGCACAATGACACATTCAATCTGGTGAGTATTTGAGTTTTGATCCACTGTTTTGCTAGTCTCATACTAAAGTATTACAATTACAGTTTTCAAAGTTATATAAATGTAAAGTATGTTACATATTTAAAAATGATGACATATGCTGTATAATCATACAATTATATATATATATATATATATATAATGATTTTCTGCAAATAAATGCTTTGAATGTTTTTGTTCAGAACCAATATTTATTTAAAAATGGGCTATTTATTTTTTCCAGAACTGTATATAATTCCTAGACTTTGTCAAACTGAGTTTGTCATCTATACTTTTACGCCCTCGTGTGGTGATTTTTAACTGTGAAATCTGGAAAATGGTTGACTGCTGGAGTTTTTATAATGCCATAACAATGAAAAAAAAATTACGTTTCATTTTTTATTTTCATAAAAAAAATGTATGTACAAATAAAGTACAAATTATATTTACATATAATTCACATTCACTTCTGCAAATTTACAATTCATCTACAAATGTAACAAGAAACAACATCCCAGAGTGATTCAGAGCACAGAATCTCAGGCTGGAATCTGAGAAAAAAAAAAAAAACTTTTTAAGTCAATCTCAAATTAATTAATTGCCAGTGGATACTCAAACTCCGAAATCAATGTCTACAGTACGAAACAGAAGAACAGAACCATAATTCACTCCACAATTCACACTTTTCAATTCTGTCAGGTGAAATAGACAACAAAAAAAAAAACTTTGTTTTTGCGAAGAGTGAAGCAGTGCATTTGATAAAAGAAATGGACTCCTGCAGTGTTCCCACTCAAGTGGTATTTCGAGATATTGAAACACTCCTCTCGCCTCTCATACACACAATGAAAGACATAAGGCATTAGTGTCCAATGGTTTCGGCCTAGTGCAAGATGTTGACCAGTCAGTCAAAAAAGCGTTACATTTTGGTGCCGTTTGGCGGCTCAATGTCGATCACCTCAAAGCCCTTGTTGTCAATGCCCTTGAGATGGAGATGGTTTCCGGGCTCATTGTGGTAGCAGTGGGTGCAATGAGCGGTTGGCACAGGCACCACTTTAGCAAAGTTGGAAAAGTCCACTCGGTACCTTCCCTCTTTGCTGCGGGAGATGATCGGGAGAAAGTCATAGCCCCACATGATCTCCTGAGGGATGTATGAAGTCCTGACCTGGCAGGCAGAGCTGGTGGATTCAGCCATGCCATCGAGGAAAACCACAAGCTCAAAGTCCTGCTGATGCATCGTGTCCACAGCCATGTTGAAGAACGGACTGCTTTTGTCAATGATGTGGTACAGGGTTAAAGGACACACGAAAAACAGATTGTCTTTACCGGCGTCCACCATGAAGTCAATGCTGACCTGGTCCAGGATGACGGTCTCACCTCCCGTGACTGTTGTCCTCAGAAGCTTCCCGTAAATCTGACTGCCGATCATTAAGGTTTTGCGCAGGTTGGCTACACGGATTTGAAGGCAAAGAGTGCCTTTTTTGGGGCAGATGACAGCAGATTCACTGAAGGTGATGGTTTTGGCTCTCTTTTTTGGAAGGGATATTTTGGTCATGACTATACCACACCAGAAGATGTTGATGAAGAGTCCTATGATAGTCTGGATTACAATCAAAGCCACACCTCCAGGACATTGGTCAGTGACGTATATATTGCCAAACCCAATGGTGGACTGGGTCTCCAGTGAGAAAAGGAAGGCATAAGTCATATCATTAACGCTAAAAGCGCATGGTTTATGACCTGGTGGTGGATTCTGCCACAACAGGTCGCCATTGTTTCTTGCCAACCAGTACCAGATGAGTCCGAAGATGAACCAGCTGAGGGTGAAGGACGCCACAAAATACAAGAGGATGAACCGCCATCGGGTCTCCACGAAGGTGGTCCAGAAGTCGAGGACGTAGGCGAAGCGGTTTCTGTGCATCACGTTGCCGAACTCGATGTTGCAACGTCCATCTTTGGTGACCAGGCGGTTTTTTCGCCCGCGCCGCTCTGACATGTACTCTTTAAACCACTCTCTCAATGAGCGAGTCATCTTAGAGTCTGTAAATAGAGGGAAACAATATTAGTTAGAAGGAAAAAACAGCAAACTAGTTTTATTAGTTATGTTTCTGTCTACCTGTTTCCATGCACATTTAGGAGTATCACATAAAAAAATGCCAAATTAAAAAATTGTGCATAAACAAACATATGCATATAACTGAGTAGGATAAACAATTTATGCAATAAAACAAAAATGTGCATAAAGTCCAACGAAAACACCCAATAAATTCCAGCATGCGCATCAAATAAGCAGTATAACTTAGATTAAATATAGTCTGATGGGAACGCAGTAATGGACAAACCACAATATGAAACATCTGAAATGTTGTGTTGGTCATTATGAAACCCCTCAGCCAAAGTCTGTCTTCACAGTGGTTCAGTATTATTATTATATTATTATTACCTCCAGATTTGTCTTGAATGTCTGCGCTCCCACCATTTATTTTATTTAATCTCCTGAGGCAAAAATCATATATTACAGAAGAACAAAGACTCACAATGACTCCTCCTATTGTGGCAAATTCCATTTTCCTTTTTGATAATCGACGCCAGTTTATCAGGAGCCGCCGCTTTACCTCGCAATCTTTTTTTAATGCAATTTTCCAGTTTTGCGCATTGGTCTAATTCGCTTCTTTGGATAGAAACAGAGCTAGTGTTCGAATGAGAACAGAGAACGTGTCCTCCGTGTGTTATAACAGACTGGTGTATTTATGGACAAACACTGGCTATTGTTATGAATCAGGTAAAATGGCCAAATATGTCCATGCTTTGTAATCAGTAAACATTTCTTCTGAATCCAGGATATTTCAAATAACATTACTAACAAATCAGCTGATTTAAAGCTGCGTCACAGCTATGGTTTAATAGTTTTTTTTTTATAAATCTAAAATATATTTTTAAATATTAATTTGACAATAGCCAATCTCTGATTTCTATACAAATTGTTGACATCATAATACAGTATTAGAGCAAAAATAAGCCATTATTAAATATTATCACATGACCAATGTTGAATAAGTTAGATAAAAAAGATATTAATTAGTCATTTTCTAATTGCTATGTCTAATAAGTAATTTAATCACACACACACACACACATACACACACACATACACATATGTCACACTTTATTTTGATGGTCTGCTTGTTGAATTTAAGTTACATTGCATCTACTAGCCAACTGATTCTCAGTAAATCATAAGTAGACTGTTAGGTTAGGGTTAGTGTAAGTTGACATGCATTTGCAAAGGTTTTTTTTTTTTAGTCAGTTAAATGTCTGTTTAGCTGCAGAATCAACAGATATTAAGCAGACAATCTAATACTAATACTCAAATGGACCATCAAAATGAAGTGTTTATATATGAAGAGTTCAGATGCAAATACCAGTGCCATCTGGATTTTGTTCTTCAACTATTTCTTAATATTAGCATTTTTTTCTTTACTAGCATTTTTCACAACCTCTTATGTTTATGTTCAATTATTTTATGTTAAAAGCAATGAAAATAATCTATTATTTGCCATAAATGAGAGATTACTGAATCAAGACAAAGGTACCTGAGAAAAATGGTAATATTAGAAAAAAAATTCAGATGGCACTTGGAGGTTTTTTTTAATCTAAACTCTTCACATACACACACACACACACACACACACACACACACACACACACACACACACACACTGTGTGAGTTAGTCAGAATTATTTGCCCCCCTTTGAACTTTTTTGGCTTTTAAAAATATTTCCTTGATGTTTAACAGAGCAAGAAAATTTACACAGTATGTCTGATAATATTTTTTCTTCTGGAGAAAGTCTTATTTGTTATATTTCGGCTAGAATAAAAGCAGTTTTTAATTATTTAAAAACCATTTTAAGGACAAAATTATTAGCCACTTTAGACTAATTTTTATTTTGATTGTTTACAGAACAAACCATAGTTAAACAACTTGCCTAATTACTCTAACCTGCCTAGTTAACCTAATTAACCTAGTTAAGCCTTTAAATGTCACTTTAAGCTGTATAGAAGTGTCTTAAAAAATATTAAGTAAAATATTATTTACTGTCATCATGGCAAAATAAAACAAATCAGTTATTAGAAATGCTTAGAAATCAGGTAATTTAATTACAACATCTTGTTACTTTGTAAATAATTACATCCAACTAATTTTACCACTATTTTACCTAAAGTTGGTCATAAGGACAATATACAGAATCCACACTCACTATACAGTATATCCATGCCTTAGCCAAATAACATTGATAAACTAATTATTAAACCACATCTGCTTTTATTAAAAACATACTTGCTTTAGCTTTTAAAATTAGTGAAAATTTTAATGCTTTCTTGATTGCCCCCTCACATTAAGTTCCAGCTGCCTCTTAGCCCTGGTAGAGTAAATAAATAAAGCAAGTTGCCAGTCAGTGATTGGTTCTGGACAGATTTTGCTTATCTCAAGCAATCCTACAGAAACACATCAACACACACCATAGTCTGACAACCACGCCCACTGGGAAAAGGGGGCAATAGGGACAATCCAACCCTCTCCATTGACTTTCAATTGTGGGAATCTGCCTGCTTGTCTCTGACTAAAAATGAAATGTCAAAAAATAATGCTGTAACATGATACAGCAAAACTCTAAAAACACAGAACTTTTTATAAGCTATTGACCCACAATGAAAAAAAAGAGCGTTTAAGGACACAAAAGTAGAGCACAATGTGTCAAATTACTCTGAGAACAAACGTGATGTACACATAAGTGAAATGCAATCGCATTCTAGAAACATTCTGTATTTTTACCCTCGTCAAACAAATGTTGTAGATATACAGAAAAACTGTATGTCAATGCCCCTGTTCCTTACCTTCTTCCTTATCGCCAGTATCCAGTTTGGTTTCCTTAAAGGCTGGCTTTTACAGTTGAGTAGCTTATAAATATGTAGGTCTGGGTTTTCAGCTTGTTTGCTGTACACCATGGCGCACGGCAGATTTTAGACATGCTTCAGTTTTTGTTATTAGTCAGAAATGACAAGCAGGCTTCCCGCTTTAGAAAGTCAATGAAAAGGGCTGGATTCCCAAGTGTGGGCGTGTCTTAAATGCGCTCTGACTGGATCCCTGTTTTTTTTATGCCATGCAAGCTTTGTGTTTTGGTGAGCTAATGCAGTAGTGAAAATTCACAGTATTTTGTGCACAATTAATTAATTTTTAACAATACTCTGTGGATAATCACACTGCACACTGTAAAAAGCGATTGCTTAAAGTGATTAAACCCACTGCCTTAAATGATAAGTTTAATTTACTAATTAACTTAGAACTGTTAAGTTGACTTAAGTTGAAGGCAATTAGTTTACTCACTTTTTCAATGAAATGCTTTTTACAGTCTAAAGTTTCCTTTACATAAAAGCGAGTAAACCTATTGCTTTTAAAGCCATTAGTTGACTTTACTTTAAAAAAAAAAAAGTGAGTATATGCATTGATTTTAAAGCGATTAGTTGATTTTACTAAAGAAAAAAGTCAGTGAAACCATTGCTTTACGATGATTAAGTAAAGGAATTATGTGCATAATTATACAAATCAAGTCAACTTAACCATTCTAACTTACAATGGACTCTCTTTTTTAAAGTAAAGTCAACTTGTTGCTTTTATGGCAATGGGTTTACTCACTTTGTTAAAGTAAAGTAACTAATGGCTTTTTACAGTGCAGGCAGTTACGATGCCTGTAAAAGTATTGATAGACACTTAGTCAGACTGTGTCATTTCTCTTAAATGTTCACATATTTCCTACTTTGTGTTTATTGGAACAATAAAACATGTTCTCTGTGCAATCAATATTTTTAGATTCTGTAATTGTAGACCAAGTAATTATTAACATGTAAGAAGTAGCCTTGTTTTAACCGGTACATCATGTACACCAAGAAAACTTTCTTTTAGTGTCAATTTCTTCTCAGTACAAAGTCTACACTATAAAAGAATTTGTTACAGTACCTTCAATTGTTTTGTTATCTCAACTTGTGTTACTCATAATGACTAAAACATTGAGGTAAACTTTGTTTAACTTTAGTTGAAATCTGATTAACTTAAGTTAAAGTAACACCTTTTTTTACAGTGTGCCCTGTAATGCTGATCTGGTAACATTGAAAAAAATTCATTGGTGATTTCTATGTATAGGTACCGAACCTGCCTTGCATAATTCTGATAGAATCACCATCATAAAATATTATTAGAAACATCGCTCTTAACGAGCACACAAGTTCAAATTAGTTGAATCAATAAGCCTTAAAGGGACAGTTCACCCAAAAATGAAGATTCTAACATTTTTTACTCTCCCTTCACTTGATCAAATCCTATGAGTTTCTGGTAACACTTTATTTTGATGGTCCATTTGAGTATTATTAGACTGTCTGCTTTATATCTGTTGATACTGCTCCTTCAACAGACCTTTAACTGACTATATGAAACTTTGCAACAACCCTAGCCCCAACCTAACAGTCTACTTATAATCTAATGAGAATTAGTTGCAATGTAACTAATTACAACAAACAGACCATCAAAATAAAGAGTGACCGAGTTTTTTTCTGCTGGTAAACATAAAAGTTAGAAAAAATGCTGGTGATGATTGACTTTAGTAATTATTTTTATTTCTTATCATGAGAATTGATTAATACAAGCAACCAATATTCAAAATCAGCACGGTTTCCTTATAGTTTCTATCCTGTTATTACAAGACTTCTGAATAATACCAGTTCTTAAACATTATCGATAGCTTGTGCGAAATAATAAATCAATAAATTGTTAATATTACAACTATTATAACAAATGGTGAAAAAGGTATTTATGTATTGAGTTATTCTCTTCAGAGAGTTTTTAAATTGGGTTATATTTTATATAACTATATTTTTATATCTTTATGAAATTATAAAAGCTTATTTATTATGTTAAGATTTTATAGTGTTTGTATAATGATGTTTTTATGTTCTTGTTGGGTCTGTTGCAATGTAATTTTGTTCTGTATTACAATTTTATTGTGATGTTTTGAATGACAAAATAGAGGAAACTGAACTATATTCTTCAAAATATCTTTTTTTTTTTGTTTAACAGAAGAAAGACACTCATTTTTAAGCACTTGAGGTTGAGTAAATAGTAAACTTTCATTTTTGGGTCAACTAACTCTCTGACAAGTTACTCTCTGAGTATACGGCGATGCTGATGTGTTTGAATCTCATAAAGGTTTAAAACCACATGAGTGCGAGTAAAAAAAATGACGTAATTTTTATTTTTGAGCAAACTATCCCTTTAAGCTGTCAGCGAATCCAAACAATTGTGTAAGAGCTGCACCTGACTGTGTTCTCCGGCCTCTTGTTTCACCACAGGGCTTTGATTCAGGGTCATTTTACTCCACTTGAATAATTATCGGTATTTAATTACAACAGTAAATAAGCGCTTTGATAAATGCAGGCATTGCATGTTCAGGGCAGTTAGCTGTGGCTAATCTCCGCTTATCTGTCCTTCATGAGCGACTGAGTGCCGAGATCCATCTCTGGAGTGCGCTTAATGTTTAATGCCGAGTCTATTAGAGTACACATCAACGCTCAATTACAGAGGAACCCGCAGTGCCAGATTTATGAACGTTCCCAAAATACCAGACTCCATCAGAAGAGTACACTGAAATTACGTGTAGATGTTCAATAGCTTACCTGCTGGAGAAGTCTGAGAGGAGAGCTTGAGTCGCTCGCTGGTTCTCCTGCTCCTGAAGCCTTCGTCCGCTCTTATAAAAGCAAGCTAAAGCAGGAAATTGGAAATGAACAAGTGTGTGTTACTGATTAATAAGCCGTATCCCTCCTTAACTGTTTCACACTTCACTAACTCTTTCTCCCTACTTTCCCTTCAGGTGTCTCGAGTCTCTCCTTTTGTAGGTTTCCCTCCTCCTCGCGCACTCATCTCTTGTTTATGTGTACACACACTTTGGCAAATCTATACACATGCAGGGTGCATTTACTTTTGCATACTCGAGGTGGACGTACACATCAACACACTTGACCTGCGATGTGCTGGTACCCCCAGAAGAAAAAGAGAAGAAAAAAAAATCACATCACGGATTTGTTTAGCATAAATATTCGTCAGTGTGATGGCTGTGCGTTGAGGCTCCATGTATGGCTATGTATGAAGTCGTGCGTGCAGTGGTAAATAAACCCTGTGTTTTAGGTTTGCTGTCGAATGCAAATCACAGAGGTCAAATGTCATGCTTTACTGCAAATTGGAGGTTTTGATTATGTAGAAGTAAATAATGGTAACACTTTCGTTCAGGTGCAAGTTCTCATTATTAACTCATGCCTGTTATTACTTTTATTTATTGGTAATTATTGCATATTATGATCTTATTCTACATATCTAATCCTACCTAATACACAACTACTACCAATAACTAATAACAAGCAGCAAATAAGGAGTTTATTCACTTTTTACAAAAAAATTTTCAAAGAAGCTTTACAAACCGTGCACATTAATGTATTACGATCAAAGAGTTTTATAGGGTGGACATTGTATTTAAACATAAACTGCAGTTATGTCGTTAAAAACGTGATGTCCATGTGTAGATGCTTAATGAATTGTATTTTTGTATTAGTTGTATGCAACACTGGCTCATTCTGAAAATGTAGTCCCGTTTCTGGAGACCGCAAATTATGTAGCTGGAGGTACGTATGGCTGCATTTCCTCTTTTTTGAGCAAACGCTATGGGGTGGTATGACGCCGTTCCTTTTCCCGCCACAACCAGTTTGTCCAGCTAGCTTGTCTTTTACATCGCCGGACTGGAGAAGTAGAGAGGAGTTGACCACGATGACGATGACCAGGTTCGAGTGCGGGAAAAATCGGTTCCAGAAATCAGGTGAGACAAAAACAGAATCCGAAAAATAAAATGAACGAGTGAATAACAAGGTGAAGGATTTGGTAAAATCCGAAAACGTGGTAAAAATCAGACGAGGGCTTTTCTTTTTCTGGACGGCTTTTGTAAACCGTCGGTTGGGTTTAGGGATGTAATTGGGTGGGCGGGTCAATCGGTAAAATTGGTTGGGTTTAGGGAAGTAGGGCGGGTCAGCTGATTGGGTCTCCAAGTCAATCATTCAGTCGGTCAACAGCGGCCTCTGGTGGGTTTACGCGAGAACAGCGCAGGCACGAACGGCACTCGCGAGATACATTTGAGATGCGAAAAAGCAAACAGCGGCCTCTCGCGGATTCGCGAAAACAAAACTGCAAAAATAGGTCCCAAGAGGTATTTTGCGGTCTTCAGAAACGTCCATGAGAATATGTTTTCAGAATGAGACTGGGTTGATTGTATGTGTTGTCCTCAAATTTATTGAGGCAAAAGTCATAGGTAATGGTTTATTAATAGTGAGAATTCTAGCTTGAAATAAAGTGTGATTAATATGAATGATCTCATACTTCAAGATATTTTTGTTTTATTTTTTGTTATTCGTTTTTTGAACGAATATCTTATAATGACAAGGACTTGGCGCCACCTACTGTTATTTTTTTGTTTAGCATACCTACTTTTTAGGGGGTTATCAGGGCTATTATAGTTAGGGTATTAACGCAAAAAAACTGCTAAATATAGTTTAATTATCATTTTCACAACAAATTTCACAAATTCTGAGGTGTCATTATGTAAGAGATAATCAAGATGGTTGTTCTTATAAAATAAAACCAGACACAAATCAGTAGATGGTGCCAAACACAATAACACTGGTTTGAAACATAATTACATGAATTAATATGACCACACATTTGAGTACATATTATGTTTTGGGTTGTAATTTTTACGTGTAACACTATTTTATATGACTGAAGGCTTGTGAAAACTGCCATCCTGGGTGTATTTTATCCCACTTATTACATGGCTACTTGCCTCAAAACATAAAAATTAGACCAAAAACATTGTTGAGCCATAATAGGTGATTCATTTGTAGATTTAATGCAAAGCTGAAAACAAACACACAAAAAGTTAAGAGAACGAAAACAGCTGATGGAGTATACACTAACCTGCACATTATTTGGTCAAAATATGGAGACAAATAGGCAAAAACGCAACGCTGACATAAATGAAAACAGCTGATGGAGTATACACTAACCTGCGCTTTATTCAGACACAAGATGGCGCCAAACTGTCAAAAATGCAAAGCTGACATAAACAAAAACAGCTGATGGAGTATACAAAACCCTGCACATTATTCGGTCACAAGATGGTGTCAAACAGTTAAAAACAGTGACAGACGAGCAGATACAAATGAAAATGGATGTAAGTGAATGAATGTGAACAAATTCACTGACAATCAAAGTGATTCTCAGTTCTTGGATGAGCCAATGTTATTTAGCAGTTGTCATCACAGAATAACATACCTTGAAATGTCACGGCAGACCAATCAGAATCCAGTATTCAAGACAGACGTGTAATAATTGACAATATAGCACAGCCTTAATAAGAACATATTGAACGTTAATGTCTGCTAGCAACACACTCATGACCTACAAATATTAATAAGAAAATATTATGTAACCTAAACCAAAAACAGACAAAAATCACTCTTTTGTTTCAGATGTTCAGGTGTATATCAGGATTGTGAACAGACGTTTCAGTGATATGATACAGAAGATGATGAAGCGCAGGACTGTGTAAGTTGGCAGATTGATGTTTCAGACAAGCTTCTTTCATTCTCAGATCTTTTGTTCTTCGGACAGTGAGTAAAAAAATGACAGGAGCTTCAACCTGAAATCTCAAAGCCTTTTTCCCCACAGAGACTGACTCTGACATTGAAAAGGTCCTTTATCATTGAAATGAGGGACTTGTGTCAGAATTGGTGGCTTTGATAGAAACTTATTGTTTTAACAATAAGAAATGTTGTTACATAATATATTTTATATTTAATGTCATATTTAACTGCCCAAAAGCAGTTCTGATTTAGCATTTAAGAGTATTTACACAATATTTTTTATGTTGTTCAGAGGTGAATCCATTTACACAACAATTACTGTATAACTATATATAGTCAATCCTGAGGATAGGAGCAGTCATAATTTCGCACTTTATGTGGTATTTACACTAGATTTTACTGTAAAAATACCTTACTTTTGATCATAAAAATTGATTTGCGCAAGTTTTTGGCTATTTAAAAAATATATAAATAAACAGATAAAATAAAAATAGCTTGAAATATAAATAATGCCTATAAACATTCCTAAAATAGATTTTTCTTTGAAATGATCAGTAAAACATGCTTTTCCGTTGACTTATTTAACACTGTTAAAAAGCCTGTATAGTTTTTTTTAGTTTATTTACACTTTTAATCCGCATCATGAAACCTTGATCACTAACCTGTCAGCCATTTGACTTTAAAAAAAGTGGCTTTTATAGACATTTTTAGATATTCAGTTTAACAATCAAGCACTTTTACCAACTAAATGAAAAAGCCTTTCAGCAAAATCCTGAAAGCCTTTGGTGACCTTTTGAGAGTTTTGCTGACCTTTGGCTTCCAATGTAAGGACACACACACAAACACACACACACACGTACGTACGTACACATGCACAATAGGTTCCAATATAATATGAGAGTGAGTAATAATGACATATATGTTTATTTTTTTTCTGTGAACTTTTTCTTTAATCATTAAACTTGCAAAGAAACACTCGAGATTTGTCATCAAGGCACAGTTTTCTTTCATGATTGGATTTCAAATTGGCCCTGTGTTTACTGGTTTACTAAATTAATTTAAAGCAATAGTGATTTATAATTCAAAGAGCCTTGAGCATCAACATAGGAAAATAAAAATAAAAAGTTTCTGAAGTGTTGCAACACTTTGTGTTGTTTTGCATCATATCCTCTCACACAAGAATTACTTTAAACAGTTCTGGTAGAATATGCGCTTCCTTTAATTCCCAAAATGACAAAACATTAGAGATTGACGAGTATTGACAGTCATTTAAAGCCTGAATATTAAGAATCAACTTTTAATACTAAAAACAACGTTGCTTCTCCTGTCTGTCATTCAGCTTTAATCTTCCTTCAGTTCAATACCTTTGTGTGCTTTGATATGCCGAAGGCCAAATTTACCTTTGAATGGAAAATCCATAATAAGCTTTTCAATAATACCAAACCACAAAATCTCGCCGTAGGCTGCCATTCAAAACCACTGATCCAAGACGTTTTTTTTTCCACCCTGACTTTCTACTATGATGTTTGTGTATTTGTGCAACAGTCATACAATTCAAATCCGTTATATACAACAAAACCGTTGCTCTCTTTGTCCTATGACCTGGATGTTTTACTTTGCAGGTTATTCTGAAATGCATTGCTTTCCATGCATACCTTTATGCGCCTGAAAGAAACTCCAAAAATGTGACTCTCGCTCAACTTTTGGGGTCATTCAAACGATTCTCGGAAGCATTGCAGTCAATTTGAGGTGGCAAAGTAAAGTTTTTCGTCACCCTTGTGTGCTCGTAATGATATAATCACCTGTGCCAGGTGGCTGAGGGGGTATTTCACAATTGAAGTGTGAACTTTAATGGCCAACTTAGTTCCACTGAACGACTCCAATGAGTCACACGCTCCAGGCGACACTCCCACCCGTATTTTCAGCTTTTTTGACTCCCAAATCCAACAGCATTTTGTGCATACTTTTAAAGCACTTAAATAAAAGCTAGAATCCATTCACTTTCCTTCGGCTTAGTCCCTTTATTCATCAGGGGTCACCACAGTGAAATGAACCGCCAACCATCCAGCATATTTTTACACAGCGGATGCCCTTCCGGCTGCAACCCAGTACTGGAAAACACCCATACACACATACTGTACACTATGGCCAATTTAGTTTATTCAATTTAACTATAGCGCATGTCTTTGGACTGTGGGGAAACCAGAGCGAACATGGAAGGACTCCACACGGGAGAACATGCAAACTCCACACAGAAATGCCAACCAATGACTTTCTTGCCTAGAATGCCTAGAATCTATTCATTTTGCAAAAAAAAAAATTAAATAATATTTTTCATACATCATTTACTTCAAGTCCTGGAAGACATTCTCATTCATGGTCAATGCATCAAACCAGAAAATCTGCATAAAGCAACCTTGCCTTGACATTAGCTGTCATTGAATTAATGAAACCACCTCAGTCGTTCATGATTATCACAGAGAAACAACAGAAAGCACACATGTGTGTAGACTGAACGGCATTTGTCTGAATGACATTGTTTTGTAACTTAGGTTACCTCACCAAATATTTAAGAGCAACAAACGCACATGGCCCTCAGGGTGTGATCTGATGATAGTACATATTGCTGAGTGACTATCAGCGTTTGACATGATTTTACCAATGCAGGCTCATTCTGATTACATACCCCTGTATACATTTCTGGAGATCGCCAAATATGTCCCAGGAGGTGCATTTTTTTTTTTTTTTTTTTTTTTTTGGCAGTTTTTGTCTTCTCTGTAAGCTTTTTCAGATCTTCAAATTTCTCTTGTGAGTGCATTGAAAAATAAGCTAATCGTACTAACTTGGATGAATGAGATTGTACAAATTCATTTGAATTAGCCACTAAATCAAAAGTTATGAATTGCTGTGAGATAGCATTGAAATTTGGATTCAATGTATTTTAAAATATGTTTATTCCTGTGTTGTCAAATATTTTAGCGTTCATTATTCCCGTCTTCAGTACTACATGATCCGTTAGAAACCATTCTATATTTTAAACTGCCCAAGAAATATAAATATTATTTTAAAAATTAGTAATTTAATTTTGAAACAGTTACAACTACATATTTTTAAAAATAATACATTTTTCCTTACATTTCCGGAGAGCTCCAAATTTATCTCAGAAATTCTTTTTTTTTTTTTTTGCAGTTGTTGTCTTCACGAATCCACCAGAGGTTGCTTTGGACGCTTTTTTAGATCTCAAATTTCTCACGAGTGCCATTCGTGCCTGCTGTTTCTACAGAAATCCACCAGAGGACGCTGTCGACTGATTGACTGACCGATCCCTCCACCCACTGCCTTCCCTAAACCCAACCATCATTGGAAAATGAGCTAATTGTACCAAATTGGATGAATGAGATCGTATGAATTCATATGAATTAGCGACTAAATAAAGTTATAAATTGCTGTGAGAAAATTTGGATTCAACGTATTTTAAAATATGTTTATTCCTGTGTTGTCAAATATTTTAGCGTTCATTAAGCCCGTCTTCAGTGTCACATGATCCTTTAAAACCATTCTATATGTTAAACTGCTCAAGAAATATGATTACTATTTAAAAAAATGTCAATTTATTTTGAAAACAGTTACAAGTACATAATAAATTTTTCATCCATTATGTACCCTGATATACATTTCTGGAGAGCGCCAAATGCATCTCAGGAACTACATTTTTATTTTTTTATTTTTTTTGCAGTTGTCTTCGCGAATCCACCAGAGGCTGCTATGTATGCTTTTTAGATCTCAAATTTCTCACACGAATGCCATTTGTGCCTGCTGTTCTCACATAAATCCACCAGAGACTGCAGTTTACTGACTGACTGACCGATCCCTCCACATACTGCCTTCCCTAAACCCAACCGACAGTGTTTTCAAAAGCAATCCAGAAAAAGAAAAGCCTTGTGGCCGGCTGATTTTTTTTTTTTTTTTTACTACCTTTTTTTTTTTACTATTATTTACTTGTTTATTTTATTTTTTGCCTTTTGTTTTTGTCTAATCTGCTTTCTGGAACTGATCTTCGCCAGACTCGAACACCGTCATCACAGTCAACTGTGCTCTGGGTCTCAAATCCACCGTTGTACACAAATTGATAACACCGGAAAAGCAATTCACATGGAAGTAATCGGTCGGTTATCAAGCACGAAAAGCAACGTCAAACTGCCACATAGCGTTCAATTTAAAGACGAAATAGCCATTCACGTTCCTCTGGCTACATAATTTGCATAATACATAGTCTCCAGAAATGTATATAGGCCTACATTTTCAGAATGAGCCTATGTTGGGTTTTAATATGACTTTTTGATTGTGTTGCAAATGACCTGGTTTTTCAATATTAAATCATTTTAATGTAATATAGTCAACACTTACCCAAACATATAAAGTAAACTATTCAGTTTTTTGAGCTTAGCATTGTTTAATCTTTTAACAAAAGTGGTAAAGTTAAAGTTTAGATTTCTAAATTAAATGTTTGAACATTATTTCAGCCATATTTTGTGATTATATGCTGTCAAAGTGCTCTGCATCAAATGACGTAATTGTAGAATCACAATGCAGTGTTTGTCATACTGTATTCTAAGAATTAATGTATCACTGGCAGACAGGCAAGTAAGGCTGTTTCTTACACTTGCCAACGAAAATATTTACTCACGTTTGACGTCTGATGAGCGTAATTATAGGTCTCGGGGGAAAAAAAAAAGTCCTGTTTAAATCGCACACTCAACGGTTAGAAGCAGCTCAGTGTAATCAAACTAAAATATCTCCTTTATAACTGAATTAACTGGTGCTTGAGTAAATAATCATGTTTCATCATGCTATCCTAATTGTAATTTTGTAGTTTTTAATATCTATTTTTTTTAGTTTTGGTCATGATATCGTCATTTTAGCGCCGTTAGCGTTCCTAAGAGGGTTCCTCCAGTCTAGCTGTACTCCTCACTAAGTAGATTTCCCAACAATGCTCTGCTATTTTGTTTCAGTTTTGTTCTTGCCCAACATTACACCTACAGTAGATTCTCAGAAGTGGACTTCAAAATGATTGGTTAAAAACCCCAAAACTCACCTCTTTCTTCAGTGTGGAGAAGACCTGAGCTCAAATCATCACCATGAGGTAAACACAGTGTCCTCCTTCATCTACAATTCCTGTTTCTGCTGCTCAAACCTCTTTTTTATTCACTTTCTAAGAACACAAAGAGTTCGTTAACAGATACATAGTACTACATAATGTGCCAGAACCTGTTTAGATCCTCGCTTGGCTTGATAAACGGCAACAGTCAGAGCTGGTGTGGAGCCAGCAGAAGCTGTCAGTGAAAGGCCAGGCCAAGAACTGCTGGCAAACAGCGGCTGAATATTAGCCAGCAGATCCTTGTTTAGCCTGAGGAAGAAAGCGTCTGAGAAAAAGCCTGAATTTCTGCTTCCATGTCTTGCATATTGAAACATCACCACCTCGAAGTGCTTTAGGAATATTTATGGCACCTGAGAGTGAAGCGCTGCAGTACCGCGGTTTTCTGAAAGGGGTCGCTGCTGAGCAAACAACAGAACTGAAGGCAGAATGGTATTGCACAAAAAAGGCAAGATGAAGGGCTGAGCTGGGACTTTTCAGCTATCCTATCTGAATTTAGCCCTGACTTGGTTGTATTAAAGCAGGGTAAGTCTGAATGCAGATATTTATTTTATGCAGCTATCCTGCACCAAAGAATTTAGACTAGGATTAACCCTAGTGATTTAATTACTTTTGCTGTCAGTACTACTAGAAATGAATGTATTTTAATCACTCCATGTTCTTTACATATTTCCAGACTATTAGAATTAAAGGTCACACTTTACAATAAGGCTTCATTAGTTAATGTATTCACTAACATAAACTAATTCTGAATAATACTTGTATATCATTTATTAATACTAGTTCAACATTTACTAATGAATTATTAACATAGAAATTCAAGCTTGTTAGCATTAGTTTATGCACCATGAGTTAAAAACTTACAATGAACAACTTCATTTCCATTAACTAAGCTTAACTAATATATATATATATATTTATATATTTATATATATATATATATATATATATATATATATATATATATATATATATATATATATATAGTTTATATATATATATATATAGTTTATATATATATAGTTTAGTACTATATATATATATATTTATATAGTTTAAAGTCCCAGTACGTCTAATAATATTTTTTTCTTCTGCAGAAAGTCTTATTTGTTTTATTTCAGATAGAATAAAAGCAGTTTATAATTTTATAAACTTAATTTTAAGGTAAAATATTATTAGCCCCCCTTTTTTTTTGATAGTCTACGGCATAAACCATCATTATTCAATAACTTGCCTAATTACCCTAACCTGCCTAGTTAACCTAATTAAACTAGTTAAGCCTTTAAATGTCACTTTAAGCTGTATAGAAGTGTCTTGAAGAATATCTAGACAAAAATAATTTACTGTCATCATGGCAAAGGTTAAATAAATCAGTTATTAGAGATGAGTTATTAAAACTATTATGATTAGAAATGTGTTGAAAAAAAAACTGCTCTCTGTTAAACAGAAATTGGGGGAAAAATAAACAGGGGGGCGAATAATTCAGGGGTAATCTTCAATCTTGGGTCCATGCGGGTTCCAGTAGGTCTTCTGAAGGATTTGTGATGACTGAGATGTAGTTCAACGGAAGATTCTTAGGAAAAATCCACCTTCTGCACTTTTCCAAATGATCAACAGAAGTCAAGTTATTATCTGTTGCTCTTGCAACTGGAATCCGCGACAATACTACTGTCAGGTAGTGTATACTAAGAAAACATACTGTTAATCTAGCTATGGGTTTTCACTGTAGCATTGTTACAGTCAAAATTACGATCATTTTATCAGATCTGAATGTGAAGTCTGAATAATCTGTTAAACGCACAGCTAATGGGAAAAACCAATCTGCTCTTCTGTTAGCGCGACAAG